ACTACCCCCTCTCTCACACACACACACACACACACACACACACACACACACACACACACACACACAGTCTGTATGAGCGCCTCACCTGCAGCAGACATTTGATTCTCTCTCCTGGAGCCATGATGGCTGTAGTGAACACGCCTGACAGCATCCCGGCCGCAAACAGCTGCGGATACCTCACACACACACACACACACACACACACACACACACACACAGTGAGGTTAAACACTCATGTGAGACACTCGGCACATCTGAATGTCTTCAGCGGCTCACGTCAGGACGTCGTTTGGTGTTTTCTGCTGCAGTTTCTTGCCAAGTCCAAAGCCGAAGAAGCAGATGGCGAACATGGGTGTGACTCCGATGATGGGTGCCGCCATGCCCTTATACAGCCCCAGAAGACCCTGAGAGACACACACACACACACACACACAGGTCAGTCCAGCCGTCTGCGGTCAGCAGCGACAGCAGAGAGTCCTCGCACCTCTTTCGCCAGTGTTTTCTTGAAGCAGTCGAGCGTCCCGCGGTACAGCGCAGACTCTCCTGGACCGGGTTTGGGCTGCGTCTGCAGTCGCACCTGCGCATGACGGTCACATGACAGCTCAATAACACACTACTGACCACACAAACACACCCAGGTCAAAGGTCACAAGTCCAGGGTTTGTCTCAAAAATGTGTCTAAACATTGCTTGCAGCGTGAAAAAAATGACCACTTTTCATCTGAAAGCGAAAATGTATGCAAGTAAAATCGTATTTATGTTGTTTTGATATAGTTTCATGTTTCTGAGCAATCATGAGTAATAAACGGGGTAATTACAGGTCATTCTCAGATGAGATGTTCTTATAAATGACATATTCCAAACAAACCTCGTCAATATCTATTATAATACTTTCTAAATGTGTAAAAGTTAAATTAATGCAGTATAAACACGGTAACATTCAAAACATTGACTTTTTGTAACGCGAAGTTGCTGATCAGACGATTAAGCTATGACTCTTCAGGTCCAAACGACTGAGAAACAGCACAGTTTCTGACGCATTGCGATCAATAACAGCGAGCACGACACATGATCAGCTGTCAGTGTGTTTGAGTTACTTTGATGGTGTCGAGCGGGTGTCCGGCGAACACTAAACAAACCCCGCCGAAGCCTCCGGCGAAGAAGTTCTTCAGCGGGCTGATGTGCTGCGGCTGCTTCGACATGCTTCAGGAGAATAACCAGTTAATCACACAAACACACGGACACACGCGCTCTGCGACCTTTCACACACAAACACACCCGGGACTATTTCACCGACGCACATCCCGGGACGAGTCCGGAGGTGGGCGGGGCTTCAATAATAATGCTCGTATTATCTATGGCATAACTATATAGTTTTTATTTTTAATTCTATGTCTGTTAACAGTCAGTCTCGGTCATTATTCAGGTCGTTGTGTGATTTGAATGGAGACTGGAGTCTCTGAGCCGCTGCTGAAAGAGAGAACACGTGACTCTTCAGAGAAACAGCCGCGGCGCGTCGCTTTAACCCGTCCGGGTGGAAAACTTACAACAAAATGCAAATCATGAAACCTACATTATTTTATACTTAATATCTCTCTCATAAGTGAACCGTTTTCGTCACGGAATAAAATAAATAAATAATGCAACTGCGGCTTTTCCTCTTAGAATTCTGAGTTTTTTCTCAGTTCTGTTAAATTCGCAAAATATAAACCCGAAATTCTGAGATAAAAACGTGCAACTGCCTTTTTATTATTATTATTATTATCTCGTTTTGAGGGGAAAAAAGTTAGAATTCTGTTTACATCTGGCAGTTTTTCTCAGAAATGTGAGATGTGTTTGTGGAAGAAACAAGCAATAGGTTTCAAAAAAACAAAACAGACACTTATTTTAGGTGCATTAGGATGGCAGCATTTTATTAGTCTTTCAACATTAAGAAAATATATGGTTACCGTTTCCCTTCTGAACAACAACATAAGAGGAAAAATAGATAATTTCGCACAAAGCTGCATCAGACGTGATTAGCACAAACACAGACCTGCATTAATACACACACACACACACACACACACACACACACACACACACACACAGTGAGGTTAAACACTCATGTGAGACACTCGGCACATCTGAATGTCTTCAGCGGCTCACGTCAGGACGTCGTTTGGTGTTTTCTGCTGCAGTTTCTTGCCAAGTCCAAAGCCGAAGAAGCAGATGGCGAACATGGGTGTGACTCCGATGATGGGTGCCGCCATGCCCTTATACAGCCCCAGAAGACCCTGAGAGACACACACACACACACACACACACACAGGTCAGTCCAGCCGTCTGCGGTCAGCAGCGACAGCAGAGAGTCCTCGCACCTCTTTCGCCAGTGTTTTCTTGAAGCAGTCGAGCGTCCCGCGGTACAGCGCAGACTCTCCTGGACCGGGTTTGGGCTGCGTCTGCAGTCGCACCTGCGCATGACGGTCACATGACAGCTCAATAACACACTACTGACCACACAAACACACCCAGGTCAAAGGTCACAAGTCCAGGGTTTGTCTCAAAAATGTGTCTAAACATTGCTTGCAGCGTGAAAAAAATGACCACTTTTCATCTGAAAGCGAAAATGTATGCAAGTAAAATCGTATTTATGTTGTTTTGATATAGTTTCATGTTTCTGAGCAATCATGAGTAATAAACGGGGTAATTACAGGTCATTCTCAGATGAGATGTTCTTATAAATGACATATTCCAAACAAACCTCGTCAATATCTATTATAATACTTTCTAAATGTGTAAAAGTTAAATTAATGCAGTATAAACACGGTAACATTCAAAACATTGACTTTTTGTAACGCGAAGTTGCTGATCAGACGATTAAGCTATGACTCTTCAGGTCCAAACGACTGAGAAACAGCACAGTTTCTGACGCATTGCGATCAATAACAGCGAGCACGACACATGATCAGCTGTCAGTGTGTTTGAGTTACTTTGATGGTGTCGAGCGGGTGTCCGGCGAACACTAAACAAACCCCGCCGAAGCCTCCGGCGAAGAAGTTCTTCAGCGGGCTGATGTGCTGCGGCTGCTTCGACATGCTTCAGGAGAATAACCAGTTAATCACACAAACACACGGACACACGCGCTCTGCGACCTTTCACACACAAACACACCCGGGACTATTTCACCGACGCACATCCCGGGACGAGTCCGGAGGTGGGCGGGGCTTCAATAATAATGCTCGTATTATCTATGGCATAACTATATAGTTTTTATTTTTAATTCTATGTCTGTTAACAGTCAGTCTCGGTCATTATTCAGGTCGTTGTGTGATTTGAATGGAGACTGGAGTCTCTGAGCCGCTGCTGAAAGAGAGAACACGTGACTCTTCAGAGAAACAGCCGCGGCGCGTCGCTTTAACCCGTCCGGGTGGAAAACTTACAACAAAATGCAAATCATGAAACCTACATTATTTTATACTTAATATCTCTCTCATAAGTGAACCGTTTTCGTCACGGAATAAAATAAATAAATAATGCAACTGCGGCTTTTCCTCTTAGAATTCTGAGTTTTTTCTCAGTTCTGTTAAATTCGCAAAATATAAACCCGAAATTCTGAGATAAAAACGTGCAACTGCCTTTTTATTATTATTATTATTATCTCGTTTTGAGGGGAAAAAAGTTAGAATTCTGTTTACATCTGGCAGTTTTTCTCAGAAATGTGAGATGTGTTTGTGGAAGAAACAAGCAATAGGTTTCAAAAAAACAAAACAGACACTTATTTTAGGTGCATTAGGATGGCAGCATTTTATTAGTCTTTCAACATTAAGAAAATATATGGTTACCGTTTCCCTTCTGAACAACAACATAAGAGGAAAAATAGATAATTTCGCACAAAGCTGCATCAGACGTGATTAGCACAAACACAGACCTGCATTAATACTGAACAGATCATATTCCCCTCACTGCTGAAGGATGGCGGGGCTACTCAGAGGTCAAGGGTTACAGGTCAGTGAATCAGCTGGGAAACAGAGAGAACGTGTGGGATCTGGCGAGTGTTAAGACTAACACACTCTACACACTCAGTCTCTATAGACCTGAGGGAACTCCTGGCGGATCTGCTGCACAATGAGTTTGTCCATCTGTCTGCTGGAGCCCAGATCCTCCCCACAGTCCTCCTCTTCTCCCAGGATCCTCTGCAGCGCCGCCTGCAGGTCGCTCAGCCGGTGCCGGTGCTCCAGATAGTCAGTGGAGCGCATGAGGGCCAGCATGAGAGACAGATACTCCATCCGCATCTGAGGAGACACACACACAGTGTAGGTATAGCTGCTGCAGTTGTTATAGTTCTAGTTATAGTGTGTGGAGAGTGTCTCACTCTGTCACCGGGCGACAGGTCTGAGATCTGTCTCACTGCGATGTCGATCATCACCATCAGGTCGCTGCGGTAGAAGATATCAGCCGTGTCTCGACTGGAGAACACATCCTGCAGGAACTTGAGCACTGAGTGCAGCGCAGGAGGAGCGTGATCGAACACACACACCGGATCCTCTACACACACACACGCACACACACAAACACACGCGCATCACTGCGGCAGCTCTATTGTGTGTGTGTGTGTGTGTGAGAGAGTGTGTGTGTGTGTGTGTGTGAGAGAGTGTGTGTGTGCGTGTGTTAGGGTTATTGTGTGTGTGTGTGTGTGAGAGAGTGTGTGTGTTAGGGTTAGTGTGTGTGTGTGTGTGTGTTAGGGTTATTGTGTGAGTCACCTCCTCTGTTGAGCAGTAATAAGAGTTTCTCAGTGAGAATCTTCACATTGTGTCTCTTGATCAGCGCCTGCATCACCATGTTACTCTCCGGTACTGCAGGGGGCAGCAAACACACAAATGCAAGTCAATAAAAAACTAAACAAGAACAAGACATCGATTGGCTGTAACAGGAGCGGTTCTGTGTTGTGTGTGGTACCGCTGAGGTGCAGGTTGAAGGCCAGCAGCAGGTTGATGAAGAGGTCCGGCAGCTGCTCTGTGGAGTCAGAGGGCAAGCCGTCCTCAATCACGTCCAGCAGGAACTGCAGGAAAGCAGCGTTCAGATGCTCTGAGACGACAGACAGACAGACACGTCAAACTCCCGTCAGGAGCGTCTGAGCATCTAACAGCATGTGTGTCTCTCTTACCGTAGTGATGCAGCGGGATCTGCTCGCCCCTGCAGAAGATCATGGCCATCAGCAGCGCGCTGTAGCACATCTTCTCATGCTCTGCACACAAAACACACGTCAGCTGACCGCGCAGACACGCATGAGCACAGAGCCGGAGCGCGTCTCACCCTGAGTGTCCGTCTGCAGGTCCCTCGCCAGCTCCATGGTCAGGACGGAGTTCAGGAGGGTGGAGATCAGCGCCGCGTCCAGACCACACATCGCCCCGAACACCTTCAGCAGCAGCAGCCGCAGCGACACGCGGTGCTCCTGAACATTCACACGCCCGAATTACTCTTCACACTACAAACAATAACTATAACCATAACTGTAACGTTTAATAATCACAAGAGAATAGTGCAGTCCACACCACAACTATAACGATAACTACAATGACAACAATAACTATAAAATTAACAATAACTATAACCATAACTGTAACGTTTAATAACGATAACTATAACAGTAACAATAACCATAACAATAACTATAATAATAACAATATCTATAACAGTAACAATAACATAATAAACTTAACGATAACTACAATGATAACGTTAACTATATTGGTAACAATAACTAGAACTATAACAATAACTATAACAATAACAACTATAACTATAACGATAACGTTAACTATAACAATAACAATAAATATAATAATAACTGTATATACAACAATAACTATAACGATAACTATAACAGTAAGAATAACTATAACAGTAACAATAAATATAATAACCGTAAATACAATAACCATAAAAATAACTATAATAACTATAACTACAACAATAACTATAACAGTAACAATAAATATAATAATAAATGTAAATACAACAATAACCATAACAGTAACAGTAATAATAACTACAACAATAACTATAACGTTAATTAGAACAATAATATCTATAACAATGACATTTTAATCTTCACTCTAGTAGTGAATAGTGAAGTCCACACCACAACTATAACGATAACAGCACAGGGGAACGTTATTTTTCCAGCTGATGAACGATAAAACATTGACAGCCAATCAGAATCCCCCCTGCTTTAACGAGCTCAAGAATTTAAAGCGACAGACAACAAATCTGCAGAGTGCTTATAATAAACAATGTTATCGTTCATTGGTGTGGACACGGATATAGTTGTCGTTATATTTATACTTGTAGTTATCATTTTAGTTATGATTATCATAGCTACCGTTAAATTATGGTTAACATTATAGTGATCGTTAAAGAAATCGTTATAGTTATTGTTAAAGATATCATTATAGTTATGGTTATCATTATAGCTATTGTTACAGTTATCGTTACTGTTATCATTACAGTTATAATTATTATTATAGTTACCATAGCAGTTATCATTATTCTTCTAGTTATTTTTTACAATTATCATTATAGTTATGGTTATGAATATAGTTATAACGTCAACTACAATGACAACTGTAACTACAATAATAATTATAATGATAGTTACAATTATCGTTATAGTTACCGTTAAGAATTCTCATTACAGTTATAGGTATGGTATTCATTATAGTAATCACTACAATTATCATTACTATTGTTACAGATATTGTTAGCATTACCGTTAACACTACAAGAATATTTATTATCACATTTATCGCTATACTTATCGTTCTTGGTGTTATCAGCAGAGCGACTCACCATCTGATAATACGACACCAGCGACAGAACCGCCTCACACTCGTTCACGCGACACATCTTCTTACACACCTCAGGAGCCGCGTCAGTCTGAAAGAAATGCACACATAATTATATAAACATGACATATTTAATAAGTAGATATAATGTTATATGAGTATGTCTCACCAGTATCTGCAGTAACTCCTCCAGGTAACATGCGATGAGTGCGTGATCTTCGTACAGAGCCCAGCTGCGCTGCTGCGAGTCATCACGGTGTCGCGCCAGATCGCTAAAGATCACCTGCAGCCGCTGCTCGTCGTGACACACCTGGCCAAGCGGCAGCGCCGCGCCCAGATCCTAACGACACAAACCAGACAACTGCTTCAACAGCTGAGCCAACGACAGAACGTCTCAACTAGTCCTTCAGCAACTAACCTTACTCTCCACCAGCGACAGCAGCACCTGCTCCAGGTCCGCCGTTGCTCTCGGCAACGCACTCTGCAGGTGACCCACCACCACGCCCACGGCAACCCGCGACAACTCGTAACTAAGGCCCGTGTTCTTGCGCACCAGTTCAATCATTTCCGCTCCGATGGTCACGGGAACGGCTGCAGACTGGGTGGGGCTACTAGGAGCGCTGAGAGAAGCAGGGGGCGGGCCCAGCGGCCACTCCACGTCCGATTGGTGTTCGGCAGCAGGCTGTTGACTGATTGGCTGAGGCACCGGCTTCTTCTTCGAAGGGTCTGGAGAAGGGGACTGGTCAGGCACGGGAGGGGGCGGAGCCTGTGAACTCTTTTTAGAAGGCTCTTCCTGAGGGGATCGGTCAGGGAGAGGAGGGGGCGGAGCCTTGCCTCGTTTTGGAACAGGGGGCGGAGTGCTGCTGATGCTGGGAAGACTGACATCTGAGGAAACGCCAGAGTGGGAGGAGCTGGAGTCTAAGGAGGCGGAGCTGACAGACAGAGAGGGCCCAGTGGGAGGGACAGGCCTGGGGGCGGGGCTTGTGGAGGAAACTCTCAGTGACACCTCTGGATCTGTAGAGAGAGAGACACGTTCACTCACTCGTGTGTAGCGTAACGCGAGCATGCTGACTGTGTTTTTCCCGCACCCACCGTTGCGTCGTAACTCGCGGTGTTTCTCCGGAGGAGGCGGAGTCACGGGCGCCGCTCTGCGAGGCTGAGGAGGAACCTGCGGCAGAAACACATGATCAGCACAAACACACTGACGGGGCTCATCACAGCGCAGGCGTCTGCTGTACCTGATAGAGTCCAGGAACGCTAGCGGGACGCTCGGACATCGGCTCGCTGCCCTGGCAGCTGTAGGCTCGGCTCAGGCCGTTGGGAGGCTGCGGCGCGCGGCTCAGTGACACCTCGCTGGAGGAGGATGGGATCTTCTGCTTGTGACCGGATGGAGTCGGGCTTCTGCGGGACAGAGTCTCCTTCCTGTGGTGGATCAACTTCCTGTGGAGAGTCACATATATATAAAATTATATGTGCTATATAATATAATATTTATTATTATTCTTTATTAAATAATAAAATATAAACATGTAATAATAAATGAACCATTAAAAATATTAATATAAAAAATATAACTCAATATAAGAATATGTTAATATAATGTAAAAATGTAAGAATATATAAACATTATATATTATAAGAATATATTATTATAGAATATAACACATTGAACGAAATAATAAAACATAGATGTCTAATATAAAATATTACAAATATAATGTATTGGACTCACTGCAGGATGTCTCTCTGCTCCAGGTTGTATTTGCCTCCATTGGTCATGGCCACATTGTGAATGGCTTCAATGGCTTGATCAACAGACTGCAGCACCTCGTCCTGCTCTGGAGCCTGATGAGACATCACCATCACCATCATCATCACCATCATCACCATCACTACCATCATCATCACCACCATCACTACCATCATCATCATCATCACCACCATCACCATCACTACCATCATCATCACCACCATCACTACCATCATCATCATCATCACCACCATCACCATCACTACCATCATCATCATCACCATCACCATCACTACCATCACTACCATCATCATCATCATCACTAGCATCACTACCATCATCACCATCACTACCATCATCATCA